ATTATTCTTTATATTTTGTCTGTTTACATTATATAATCTCGACCTCAAAGTGCATGCCACAAGGCTTGGTTTCAAGTATATAAAAACAGGGGATGTATGTTTTTTTTATACAAAACTTAAATATTTTTATCTGGAGATTGTTGGTTTAGCTTTCAAGTTTCAATTTCAAGTTCAATCTGCTCTTGCTGCAGGTCAAAGTGCTGTTTTTGATACTAATGGATCTCTGTAAGAGAACAGCAGGTCTTGCGCACCCGTTGCCTGTTTCTCAAGTTGGAATGTCCAATATCCAGGTTCGGCTTCATTATATTGATGGAAACTATACCGTATTGCCAGAGGTTGTTGAAGCATCACTTGGCCCACATATGCAGGTAGTCATTGTCTTCTCTTAACATTATTGTGATTCTGTTTTGTATCTTGCAGCACACACTGATAGAGCAATAAGAAGTGTTGACTAAATCAAAATAAACTGCAAATCCCAAGTGCAAATAAACCAATTTTCTTCATTGTCTGTGACATATAATTGAATAAAGAACCTGGGAAACACTTATTATTTCTCGGTGAGATATCCCCTTGTAATTAAATTGTTTGTATGACGTAAAAGGGTCAAAGGGGGTGTTGTCCTCCAAAATTTTGATAAATGGTAGCTTTGGGGAGGGATTAAGAGCATATTATGTGGAGACTATTTCTCTTGATCTGTTGATTGTGGTGGAAAGAAATGGAAAGCATATCAGACTACAATATGTCAGGATTCTTGTTTTTATTGCATTGGTAACTTCTATCCGCTTTCTTTTTTCCTTTTTTTTTACAAAAAGTTTACGCTTTTCTGTGGCTGTTCTTATTGACTTGTTTTCCATTACACTTGTTGGAGGATTTGTAACTTTGAACTTGTAAAAAAATTCCTATATTTTACGCGTGGGGGACTTTTTTTTTTTTTTTTTTTTTGGGGGGGGGGGGTGGGTCGGGGGGGTAGGGGGGTGCTTATCATGTAAGGCTTCTAGTGGAAATCTGTTCATAAGCTGGCAAAGTTAACGTCCGATTAAGTAATTGACAGTCTGTAATCTGTATGACAAGGATGAAAATACAGTGAAGATATTGACTGCTGAGGATTTAAAAGCTGAATAAAATGATTAGAGTTTGTGTTTAATGGCTTTCAGCTTGACAAGGAGTACTATTTAATAATGTTGCTGCTCTGTAGTCTGTAACTCTGTATCCTAGATCATGACTTCATGTTCTTGGTTGTACTCAATTTTGGTACTCTGCAGAATATGCCTAGGCCTAGAGGTGCAGATGCTGCTGGTTTACTTCTACGTGAGTTGGAACTCCACCCCCCTGCAGAAGAATGGCATCGTCGGAATATGTTTGGGGGTCCATGGTCCGATCTTGATGAAATGGGTTCTGTAGATGACTCTAAGCTAAACACTTCTGTTGATCCACTTGATTCAAGCTCAATGGAGAGTTGTGATGTTTCCTATGGAGTGCAGAGCCTATGGCCAAGGAAACGCAGGCTGTCTGAAAGGGATGCTGCTTTTGGCTTTAATACTTCAGTTGGTCTAGGAGCTTATCTTGGTATTATGGGATCTCGACGAGATGTGGTGACTGCTGTTTGGAAGACTGGTTTGGAGGGTGTTTGGTTCAAGGTAATGCCTTCTTCATTTTTGTTCCTTATTATGTTTCCGGGTATAATCCCAAAGTGAATTATTAAATCATAATCTAGTATTCCTCCCATCCCAAAATAGCATAAAAACTTTTCTTATTTTTTTACCCATCTCAAATTAGTTTGATCGTTTCCTGATTGGGGGGAATCTCTCCTTTTAAATACCTTTTTTAACTTTTTATTTATTTATTTTTAAAACACCATTTTCACATTGAGGGCATGCTTGGATCGGGGGTAATATATTAAGGGGGTATTAAGAGTCAAATTTGAAAAAAATAAGGGTTCGTTTGGTTCATGTAGCCGACCCACTTTATGGGATTAAGGCTTTGATTGATTATTGATAAGGGTTCGTTTGGTATTGATGTGTTGATCTATGTCATATATATATAATGAATAAAAAATTAGTCAAATTTATTAAAATTATGATAATTTTGAAAACTCGCCACCAAAAAAATAAAATAAAATAAAATGGAAACACCTTTTTCTTGTTTCTTGTTTCCTGTTTTTGGTTTTTTGTTTTAAAAACACAAAAAGTGATGGCAAACAAATTCCATAATTAGAGGTCGTGTTGTAGGAGACAAGTTGTTTACAAATGAAATAAGATAGTTGTGCCATGAGGAAAAGAGAGAGATGGAACCCTCATAATGAGGGTAATAATTAACCACTCTCCCCCTAGTGTAACTATTAACCACAAAATGAGAGTATTAATTCCTCTTTTTTCACCTCATACCACACTGGCACTATATAATTTTCCTTACAATTACTCCATCACTATCTCCTCTTTCCCTATATTCTTTTAATTACCCTAGTAATACATCTTCTTAATCCAAGCATGCCCTGAATAAAAAAAATACCCCACTGTCTTAATATAATTGTATATATATACGTTTATTCGATGATTCTGCATCTCTCCAAGATGCCTACTCTTATGTACAAGTATGCTCTTTCTTCCAACATTTGTTAATTCCTTGCAGTGTATAAGGTGTTTGCGTCAAACCTCGGCTCTTTCCTCATCAGGCTCAACTAATTCATCCAATCAGAATGAACGAGAGACATACTGGATAAGTCGTTGGGCTTATGGTTGCCCAATGTGTGGTGGAGCATGGGTTCGAGTGGTATAAACGTTGTTAGTTAGGTAAACCATCGCTAACCTCATTTATCTTAGGGTTCATTACTACATCTGAACTCTTATTTATTTATTAACTGAATTCATTAGAACTCCAGGTGCATAAATAGTTCTTCATCCTTGTTTCTTGCTTCTTCTGCACCATCCGATTATGATTGGGAATCATATTTTACAGACATGTTATCTTGTTTATTTTATCATGATTAATGCACCATTAGATGCATGATCTTGTCTCAGCAGATTCTGATATCTAATAATTTGTATTAGTTCTTGCACTGTGCTCCAAAAAAAAGAAGAAAAAAAAAAAGAAATCTAATTTGTGTATTTTGTTTGTGTTCCAGGTTGTACATTCTTTTATTTACAGTCTGCTGACCAAATCAGTGTTTTCTCTCCGTCAAAGAGGTCATGACAAAGCTTTATTTAGCCGAGAAATATGAAATTCATTCTTCTGATTAAGGATTGCAGGACATTATGAATATATATGCATTGTAATTGTAGTGTTCACACTGGTAGATGATGAGAGGAAGATGTTTACATTGTCTGCATGCAAATAACCCTTTCGAGCCTTGGTGATGAAGAAGATTGCAAGGATCTCAACCCTGGTTGAGAACAGAGTAGCAAAGATCTTTAATCCAGAAATGATAGTGTCGGATGGAAGATGCTGTTATCATTCTTTGAATATATGTTGGGTTCCTGTCAATGCCTTGGAGACGTGAAATCGAGGTTTCAGTTGATGCGCTACTAATCGGCAGTAAGAATGGGATTAAAAGCTTGATCTCTTTGCAATGGCAGAGCTTATATAAAATGCAATTTTGTATAACTTTTACGTCTCTATTGATATGTACAGTGCGTTACTAATTTTCTAGTTGATGTCCAAGAATTTTGGCTGCGTCCAAGTGATGTTCTTCAAATTGGAGTTTGAAATCATATATGCAGTCGTTTCACTTATACTCCCATTTGTTAACTGTAGACAACCGACTTGAAATTAAAAGTTGCAAAACTTGGATAATGATAAAAACTTGGCAACAACAGAAAGTATTCAATGTTTTAAATTTTAGAGGTGCCAAGTCACACCCGACTCAATCTAAAATCGACCCGAAAAATATCCGATTCAGATTTCAACTTGCGTGGACATAATAATATGGTATGAATCAACTTTAAAAATTGACTCGATCCAACCTCATCAGATCCAATCCGATTATCCGAATTGACACTTCTGTTAAATCTGAAGTAACAAATACAAGTTCAATAAGCCGATAGTTTTTTGCTTAGATCGTGTGGTACACCCTCAACAAAATTGTACCTAAAATTAACTCACTAAAATTGTACCTAAAATTAACTCACTAAAGTCGCTGATTCACCTGTCAATTGCTTTTTGTACATTTTAAGATTTTTAACCAATTTGTTTGTCTCCCATATTTTTCTCTCATCTTTGTACCTTCTTGCTTCTTCTATATCACCACCCTTCACCCCATCAGTCTAGTCCTAATTTATACAATTATTGCTGTCATAAAGTTAAAGTTACAACTCCACCTTAAGAGCTGAGGGAGTCTAAGAGCCTGTTCTCATACGTTGAAATTCAGTTCAGTTCAGCTTTCAGTTCAGCTGAGTTCAGTCAATGAGAACATGTCCTAAGACTACCAATTTAGAGTGATTTATTCATATAGATGGATGCGGTGGTGGTGATGGTGGTGGTGATTGTGCTGTGATTGCCCAAAACTAGAGCTGGCAAAAAGTCGTGTCATATCCGTGTTTAGTCTCGTGTCAACTTCGTGTTGTTCTTAAAATTTATCAAAAACTATTTAAAATGTAAGATAGTTGCATAATTTGACCACTTTATCTAAACGGATTGTGTTCGGGTTGATTTCGTGTCGTGTCGTGTCGACTTCGTGCTTTCTATCAGTAACTTCGTGTTTGTGTCGTGCCGGTTTCGATCGTGTTGTTGTGTCGTGTTGTGCCAGAGATTGCCAGCTCTACCCAAAACCGCTACATCAATTAGCGGTTTAGGGGTAAAATCGCTGTAATATTACAATTTTAACACTTTGATCAACAAACTTTGTTTCACAATAAGAAAAATTGAGACAACCTCAAAAACGCTTACCTTAATACGAGAGGAATATTAAAAAATGTGCTCTCATAATGAGTGTGCCAAAATCAATTTTGATATGCCAAAATCATTTCCCGAAAACTAGTACTCTTGTAGTCCATACTCCATACTCCATACTCCATACGACCGCAAGTCCATAGTGCATTTGCATTTTGCAATTAGCATAACCTTCCCTCTCTCTCCTCTTCTTCAAACTAACTGATCACATCTAACCTCACCTCCTCCTTCCTCTCTGCAAAAAGTCAAGTCACCGGAAAACCACCAAAATGAGCGGAGCAAGCGGCGGAGCTCAGGCGAACCACTCCCTCGCCTTCCGAGTAATGCGACTTTGCCGCCCATCTCTTCACGTCGAAACGCCTCTTCTCTTCGACCCCGCCGATCTCCTCGTCGGCGAAGGCGATTCCTCCTCTCTTCTCCCTCATTCTCTCTCCTCCGACAACAGCGACAATGGCAGCGACAACGATCTCTCCTTTCGCTCTCGATTCCTCCTCTCTGATCCATCCTCTGCTTCCGGCCTCTCCGGCCTCCTCGTTCTTCCGCAATCCTTCGGGTTTGGATTTTCTCGAGTGAATTTGTTGTTGTTTTTTACTTTGATTGATTGAATTTTGTTGATTAATGTGTTTTTTATTTGTTTGTGTGATTTTTAGGGCGATTTATTTGGGAGAGACGTTTTGTAGCTACATTAGTATCAATAATAGTTCCAATTTTGAGGTTCGAGAGATTGTTATTAAGGTCAGTTGATGCTTAATGTTTCTGTTTTTAATTTCGTGTTTTTGAGTATATTTTTCGGGAATTTGATAATAATGTTGTTTGCTGAAATGCCATTATGTATGTGATGTGGAACTTATAAATGAAATGGAATGATTTTGTTTAGTTAATAAGAATTTGGAATGTTGGACTTAAGGATTGATGATTCGATTGTTGATTGAATAATGTAATTTGTCTCAATTTGGTGGTTTTTGCCGAGTACAAATTTGTGTTGTATTAATTGGTGGAGATATTGTTGGTGGTTGTTCGTTCGTGGAGTATAATATTTGAAACTCGGTCGTTGTTAGCTAGCTAAACAATATTTGTTTTGGCTTCAGATTTTTGTAATTTGGTAAACTATAAGTTATGAAATTGTCTACAGAATCATTGCAACTTATGACTTTTTAGGAAAAGATATTGAAATACTACGTATTAGATTTGGTTGATCAGCTCTTGTAACTTGTAAGGGTTGTTTCAGCTTGGTGGATCTGTACGACAAACCACTATCACTTAGCATGAATGAACCACATTACTCCTTATAATCCAAATGTTGGATTTATGACCTAGGTTTTTCTAGTCAAGGTATTGTGTAACTTTTGAAGTTGGACTATATGTTTGGAAATTTGATCCTATTTTTTTCGGTTTGTAGGAACTGATCTGTTTCTGATGACAATGGGCTTTTAGTCGCGGAATATTTTTAAGATTTCTGTTATGATATGTTTGGTAGATATTAATGTGTAAGCTATGTTACCCGGACTCTTCATTTCACTTCACGTACCCGTGTCAAAACCTCGACACTTGGACATGGGTATGACACCCGGACACTTCACTTTTAGTTCAAAATCATGGAATTTTTTCACAAAATTGCCGAGTCGGACGCATGGACACGTACCCGTGTCGGACATGGGTAGCCGTGTCCAAGTAACATAGTGTGTAAGCGTCAGCAAACCACTTAAATATCTGAAATTTGCTGACTTTTGAAGATGCAATCTTTTTTTGGGTTTCTGGGAAACTTAAACAAATGCAATAAAGATACTAACTTGATTCACTAATCACAAAGGTTAATGAAATCAAGGGTTTCAATCTTAATCTCACACAATTTTGATAAGATTGAGAAAAATCACTAAGATTTTGAATTCTCACAAATATGCTTCAGGAGAGTGAAAAGTGCATCTATTCATAAATCATCAAAAGTTGTCCATACAATCTTTCTTTTCCCTTTATAGGGGTTGTTACTACTACTACTACTACTACTACTACTACTACTACTGCTACTGCTACTGCTACTACTGATGATCCTTGGATTTCAATGAAGGGCTAAGATTAAGTCATTTTAAAGCAATAAAGTAGTCTAAAAATTCCAGCTTGGGTAAGTTGCATGCTGATGCAAACTTGCACAGGCATCATTCCATTGCAGTGCTTCTCCTTAGTTTTGAACTCTCTTGCACAAACAATTACTTGCAATCAGATGCTCACATTTTTTTCTGTTGCCTCTTTTGCTCGCTCATGCAAACTTGCACACCAGTAAAGCTCCAGTGTTTCAAATGCTATCACTTGACCTTCCAAGGAATCCTCAGCTTTATCACAAGCTGTAAAAAATGATAATGATTGATCCTTAGGATGGTCAAACCCAATAGTTGACCTCCCAAGATCCCTCCATGCTCACTTGTCATGACACGTGGCACCATTAAGGTCTGCGCACCAACCAAATTCAATGCCCTGCATCAAGATGGATGCTTATGAGCTATGACCAATCTGTGTTGAGGCTCTTTAGTTAGAGAAAATTAGGGTGATTTTAACTACAAACCATACAGAAAAAACAATGAAATAGCGTAGTTTGTTCTTTTCTATTAGCCCAGCTGTATAGTTTGTAGAAACATGTTGATATTTTGCTTAAATTTTCTCTGATCTGTCTCTGGTTACAGGCAGAAATTCAAACAGAAAGGCAGAGGATACTGCTATTAGATACTTCCAAATCGCCTGTAGAAACAATACGTGCTGGGGGACGTTACGATTTTATAGTCGAACACGATGTGAAAGAATTGGGGGCACACACGTAAGTTGGTTATTTCAATTGTATGTTTGTCTTTTACGATTCCTTTTACTAATTTTTTCTTATCTCTGTCATATTTAGGTTGGTATGCTCTGCTATGTACAATGACAGTGATGGTGTTCGCAAATATCTGCCTCAGTTTTTCAAGTTCATAGTTGCCAACCCACTTTCAGTTAGAACAAAGGTATCATCTTGTCACCTTCATCACTTTTACAACTGATTTCTGCTCTGAAATTATGTTATCTCTTTCTTATATTTCATGTTTGTGAACTTGGATCTTATGTTCAATATTTTTTGGTGCAGGTCCGTATGGTCAAGGTAGGTAGGTCGCTCTTCCTTAGCATTATTGAAGATAGTAAGTCCATGACTACCTTTTAATGTGTGAATCTATTCTATTTGTTTCTGCTTTTTGCAAATTCAAAGGTTTAGTTTGAGCTTGTAAAATCAGGCTGAGCAACTAAAAAGAATCAACAATATTTTATGAACTGTACAAGGTTTGGAAGTGGGATGGAAACTTTCATGTCTTGGTCCCCTCTTTATCTTTGAATTGTGTTTAGTTGAAAAGGTTTCAATATAAAGAACATGTAGAATTGTTGCTTTGAGTTACAAAGTTATGGGGTTGTATATTTTATGATAGCTGAGCACTAGAACGTAATGATTATTCTATCTTGTGATCCTTTTTGATGGCCAAAAGTTATTTGTGAAAACAATTATTTTGACAATGAAAGCTTAGGTCTCTGATTATTAAATTTTTATGTGGCCTAAGCTTTAATGGAATCTTTCTCTTGCATTCACTTATTACTATCTCCCTAGACACTGTTTTGACTGAAACTATACTACTTTCATCTTTGTTGGATTTTGTGTTTGAAGTTACTTTATCATGTGAGTTGCTTTGGAAGTTTGGAATATCGTATTCTATTTAGCTTATTTTCCTTATTTTTTGGTCTCTTGGGGTTTTATCAGTTATTTGAGCTTGGAGATTCAGGGAACTGGGGGAAAGGGGTTTGAAATAGATTTTTCAGATTGAGGTACAGGTTTTTCTCTGACTCTGTACTTTCACTTTTTCTGAAAATATCTATATTCTTTCTACTGTCAAAACAGCTGACTCTATACTTACCTTTGTGAATCAAATTTTATCAAGTAGCTATATCCCTACCTTTTAAATTGCTTAAGAAAATTCTGATGTACCCCTAAAAATGTTTGTTTACTTATTTGCCCTCATTAATGTTAACTGCCTCTTTTTAACTCTTATAAGTAGTGTGCCGACATGTATACCCCCTAAAAACTTTTGTTTACATATTTTCCCTCATTAATGTTAACTGCAAACAACTACATTTGTAGTATAAGGCCAAGCCGAAAGAGCTTGCCGGACATGGCTAGCTATGGGCTTATAGCGCCCGCGTTAGCCGCCCTAGTTGTGGTAAAAGCTATTTTTTCGTTGTATTTTTTTAGTTAATCATCTTGATAAATCAACTTTTTAAGTTTATTAGTTTTTAAAATTTTGTTGCATTTTCAATCTGAAAGTTATGCAAACAATTATAGCTTAGGTTGAAAATTGATTGTTGTTCTTAGTTCTCATGGAAGCTCTAAAACATATGGGGTCAGGGCATAAAAATTAAGGCTGTTCTGGTTGATGACTACTCCTTATAGCAAAAAATTTCCTTATCATGTCTCAGGATCTCACCTTTTTGGAGGCTTGTATTGAAAATCACACCAAATCAAATCTTTATATGGACCAAGTTGAGTTTCAGCCAGCTCAGCATTGGGGTGCCACAGTATTAACAGCTGATACGAATCTTGCTGAAAAGGATTCTACTAGGTTGGTTAGAAAGATCTTGATATGATTCTTGATTAGTATCCCTTGCAATTATCTTTCAGAGCTTAACTTGGAACTATTTACAGTGACAAAGAAATTTTTAAGCCACCGGTTCTGATAAAATCTGGAGGTGGAATCCACAACTTCCTATATCAGTTGAAGTTGTCTGCTCAAGAATCTACTCAAACGAGAATTGAGGGAAGCAATATTCTTGGTAAACTTCAAATAACGTGGCGTACAAACTTGGGGGAGCCAGGCCGCTTGCAGACACAGCACATACTTGGCAGTGTAAGTGCTTTATTATATTTATTTCCAAAAAAAAAAAAAAAAGGTGCTTTATTATATTTTACTTATGCTACTCTGGTAACTGTTTGTATATGCTCCTTAGCTTTGTAACGGGTTATAGAACGGCCGTTGTATACCCTTTTTACTTTGTGGAGTGGACTCCACATGGAACTTCCATATACCTCTCTCTGAAACCCGTATCAAAGCGCTTGTTCTATTACTCATGACCCATACATCATTTGCTGTCAAATGACCTATATACTTTATAAAAAATGATTAGTTGCCGCCTTTTAATACTGTCTGTTATATAAAATTTTGTAACAAGTATCAAGGACCTAGAAAGGTTGATTATCTAGAATTTTATATAAAAACTTTTCTTTAGCCTGAATTAAAGGGAGGTTTGGAGACTGTTATCTGATGTTGGTTGAACCAGGTTATTTTTGCCGTGGAACAAGCCATTTCATTTCTTCCTTTTGGCAGAAATACACTACAGTTTACAATCTACATCAGAACTAGGGTATTAACTTTTGCATGCCTTATCACCTTAGGAATATAGGAAAATGAGCTTAGAACAATGAGCAAGAAAGAAATCCTTTGAGGTTTCCAAATTTATGAATGAGTGTGTTTCTTGTACTCTTTTTAAAAAAAGATAAAATAAAACTGGTAAGAAATACCTAGCCATCTGTTGAAAGTGAATTAGCATTTTATTCAGGGGAAGACAATCCTTCCAGAGGTGGGGGTGTTCATAGACAGAAGGAATTGCATTTGTGCTGCTCTTCTACAAAGTCTTCGAAAATAGTTATGCAAATGCCAGAAAACAAAAGACATTGTTGTGCTTCTGTTCTCTGAAGCTGTAAATGTTGACTAAAATAGAAAACTAGATTATAACAGCTTCAGCTTCATAATTATCGCTCGAGTCCCTAATATGTATGTGCATCTGCGATATCATAAACATTTCTTTAGTAATACTATATGATTCTGTATTGGGTTTCCCGTAATAAATGACAGCACTCTTTTATTCAATTCTCTAGGCTTGTTGTCAATTTGTTTTCTTGTTCTCTTTCCCATGATTGGCTACTAATTCAACTTGTGTACTGCAGCCTGTTCCTCGCAAAGAAATCGACTTGCAGGTGGTGAAGATTCCACCAGCCATTATCTTGCACAAACCCTTTGAGGTGACTGTTCTTTTTGCTGCTGTGTTGCGTGTGAGTGGGAGGTCATGTAAATTTTGGTCTTTTGGACTTACTGTAGGTTTAACCGAACTTTAGAAACCAGCAGTCCACATCCTTTATAGGTCAGCTACCCCTCCCCCTCCCTCCGAAGGAACCTTCATATAGTTAGGAGAGTATTCAAGATTACTATTCGTAAATAATCATTCCATAAACTTAATGTTTGATCAATTATTTATTTATTTACTAAATTTTTTACACATGCTATTTTAAACTCCAAACCTTTTTTTTTTTCAACAAGTATATTATCCTTATAAATTATAACATTAATTTTAATCTTGTGCATGGCATGGGCCACCTGTCTAGCCCTTATGGTAAAGGGACAAGTATAGGTGTTTGGTTATTTATTGTCTGCACATATTTAGACTAACCCTGACCAAGCCCATAGTAGGATCTCTAGGATCCAGGAATATAATGCTCAATCTTTTTCTCTATTGCTTGTGGTTTATAATTTGGCCCATTTATATAAAATGCACATCTCATCTGTGCAAAGCATATTAGGTGGTAGGTGGTTGTTGATCTATATTGGACTTAGGAGTCGAAAATATTATTTGGAAATCAGAGAAGTGAAGAGCAAAAAGAGGGGAAAGCTTGTTTTGGGGGTGGTGGTGTTGGGGGGCAAGATGTGAAGATCTATGTTTATTGATCTAGATTCTCTTTCAGGTGCAACTAAGTCTCACAAACCAAACTGAGAGGGCCCTGGGGCCATTTGAGATCTGGTTTTCAGGTGATGCTAATGGGGAGAGGGCGTTCATGGTTAATGGCCTCCAAACTCTGGTAAGTTCTGCTTGGAACAAAAAGTAAATCTTGCTTCAAAGTTCATGCTATCTATTATCTTTTGTTTAGGGAATTTCACATGATACTTAGGTTGTAAATAGCATTTCCATTGATTCAAAAGGTGGCCAAACAGAGTAGCAACATCCTGCCTTTGGCCACACGGATTACCAATTTGGTATATTAAAGCTGCGGGTCTTGCTAAATTGGGATAAAGAAATCTCCAACGACATTCTGGTATTAAAAAGAAAAAAAAGGAAATCAAACAATGACTAATACCCCTGGATTTCACCAAAAGGTCCAAACTAACCGCATGTGCCATAATTTATTCTTTTTCCAACCATATTTCTAATATTATATTGTTATATAAATTCTTAAATATTACAAATAATTATAACACTGTTATAAGTAAGGTTTTGTTCTCTTTACCTTAAATAATAAAACTCTGTAAAAATAATTTACATTAAGTGAGTATAAATTAAGTTGAGCAAATATAACTTAAGTTGTAACTTAGAACAAATAGAGAATCTCAAGGAAAAAAAAAAAGAAGAAGATTTTTATATAATTTAATTTAAATTTAGCAAGAATAATTTAATTTCTATAAGGATAATTTCAAATCAGCAAAAATAATTAAAGTTTGATATATATTAGGCAATTGTGAAGTATTGTACTTGCACTAGCTCTGATTTTTTGCCGTCTCTCTTTTTGTATGCCAAAATGATTCTTGGTTTTTTCTATAAACCAATGTGGCCACCCCCCCCCCCCCCACACACACACACATAAGTATACCAACCTGGTTAATTGGCAAATTATTGGTTATAGGTATTGTCTTCGTAGTAAAATTAACTTCTTTCTTGGCATTTTGTTTTCAGGATTTTACTTTGACTGTTTTTTCTCTAACGAGTCTATTCATATGTTATCAAATAACATAAGGGCTAAGGAAATACTAAAATGAAAGTACTTTTGAAGTTATTTTTTACTATGTACACTGTACTTGGGTAATCTAATTCATTATGACTATAAACCTATAAACTAAAATTTCATCAAAATAAATATAACTTCAAATTTTTTTTCTGAAGCTTTATTTGTATAAGCTCTTTATTAACTTGTACATTTGGATATGTTTCTGAAGCTTTATTCATATAATCTAATTCATTTCTGAAGTTTTTATTTTTCCCTCACATTTTATACTTACTCCTTATGGAGCCTAAAAGCACTTTATTAACTTGTACATTTGGATACATTTGCACAGACTTTGACAGAGATTCGGGCTCTTAGTTCCACTGATTTGAAAGTGGTAAACAGCTTCCCTGTGTTATTTCCATTTTTCTGATTTTACTAGGACATTGAATTGCTTAAATTCCTCTTCCTTTTTTATTTGCCTTATTTGCTTTGTTGTGCTTGAATTTTGTAGTCCCCTGACCCCAACAGGATGTACAGTGTTGGCTTTAGTGAGATTAAACAGTTTCTTTACACTGGCTAAAGTAGTGTCTTCTTGTTAACATACAACTATTGAAATTTTATGTATTTGAGTATTTCATATGCCTACAATTTCTGTCTTAAAAGGCAGAGGGCCCAACTGTTTTGGATAGTACTTTCTGTTTTCTGCAGACATGCGGCAATTTATATGGTATCAAGAGTAAGAAAGATTTGAACCATTCACTACGATAGTCTAATGTTGTTTGACGTGTCTTCCCATGAAGAGCACACTGAGATTGAAATTGTGGGTGCTTCACTAATTCCACCTGTAAATCGATTTCCTGTAGTGGGTTTCTCTTTAAACCTGATTCCAATTTGTGCATTTAAACTATAGTATTATGTACTCAATTGTCTGAATGTCTGGTAATTAGAGCAACTTATATTACAGAGTGATCCAAAGCAGACAACTCAATAAATTTTCTAATTGTTGTGGTTTCTGTTGCAGAACCTGATTGCAACTAAACTCGGAGTCCAAAAAATCACAGGGATAACTGTTTTTGACTCGATTGAGAAGAAGACCTATGAGCCCCTTCCAGATCTAGAGGTATGTCATTAGAAATAGTTGTCAATTATCTTATACATACTCGTCCGTCAAAATCCTGATTAATTGTTTTGTGCACGACTAAAAATCAAATGCACATTAAGATAGGTTGAATGAGAAGTTGGTCGTGCTTGTCATTTAACTGCAATAATCATTTTATTTATGACATTAATTTTCTGATGTTAATACTTCACGTGGAATTTTGTAACAATCCGTTAGATTAGAAGTTTAGTTTAAGTTGCAATCAAAACCCCTTCATGATTTACTTTCAGCTGTGCTCCTACTTCAGACAGTTTAGCCTTTTGTGCCATATATCATCTCATATATATCATACTATTGAAAGTTTTGGGGGCTTTAAGAAGGTTAACACTTATTATTCATCTTGCTGTAGATTTTTGTTGATTTGGATTGAACTCTGGCACAAGTGTGATGGATGAATTGTTTAGCGTTAACAATATGGACTTATGTTTAGTGACCTTAAGACTGTACTGGTCTCTCTTGTGAAGCCAAATCCCAGGAGAATTGCATTTTGCTAAGGAGCTGTTATAGTGGAAAGATAGAAGGTTATTGTCTCTAGATTTAACCAGCATTTGGGAAGTTGTTTTTGTGATACAACTATATTGTTAGCCAGCCAATGCACCTTTAATTTCCTCGATCTGTTTCTTCACCATCATCTAATCGAATGATCGGCTAACTAGTGGGTTTGCCTCACTACAAATTAGCTATGAGGTTTTAGGCATTTTACATTGTATCTGCCAGTATTTGTACATGTATATTACAAGAAAGCTTTCTGAAAATACAGGATATTTATTTCAAAAGCTTCTATCCTGCCTTGATAAATTTAACTTCGACATCTAAGGAAACGAGCATATCAGCTTTTGTGAAAAACTATGTACCGATCTGGTATTTGGTAATTTTGGTTGTTACGATACTCTAACCTTGTTTAGCTGGCTAAATATTTTGTGGGAAGTCAAAATTCCAATGAATTTCATTTTCAACCTCTTGTTTGATTGACACAAAAAAGTGAAAATGGGGGCAATGAATATTCATGGGGATTTTAACTTCCCACAAAACATGGGAATTCCCCTTGGTAAGTTGAAATTCCCGTGAGAATTTACTTCCTCCATTCTTCAAACAAATTTGTTGAATTCCCATTAATTTGATGATGAAATTTGTTTCCCACAAATTGAAATTTCATGGGAATTTGCACTTCTGTAATGAACCAAACGACCCCTAATATGAAACAACTTGGTTTTCAGTTATTAAATCAAGTGAAACCAAACGGTACTGCAGCAGATATGATTGTTGATCAATTTTACAGGGAAGTGAATACATGAACAAGATTTAATCTCTTGAAACTTAGTGAATAAATAAGGGTTGGAGAGACAAATTAGTAGATAGTTATTCAGGCATAATTTGTTAAAAAAGGCACTTCCTTTGTTGCTCTTGTTCTTCCCTGTCAATGGAATCCAAGGATAAGCGTATAAATTACAGGGTATTAGAGAAATATGTACGGAGTAAGCAAATTAAACAGGCTTTTTTATTTTGACAAGATTTTTGGGTCTTAATAGTTTCGGAATGTGATGCAAAAAAATTAAAAAAAAAAAAGTAAGTCGGTGTATTTCACTAGCTGACATGACTACAGTAGAGGCTGCTAGAAAGGGTGTAGGAACAAAAGTTACAGGAAGCAGTGGTAAGGACACTCAGGAGTCAGGACACATAATATAGATTTGACATAACTTATACTTCTTTCTTCACTTTATTTTTTATACGTGCAACACACCTTTTATCACGCTTTTTGAGAAGACGATTAGACTAAGTAAACGAATGAATTAAGCTATGAAATTTAAATTGTAGCATCTTATTCCTTTTTACTCAACGGTAATAGAATTTTTAAAATTAATTTATCTGTTTTACCTATCTCCCTTAAAATGCGTGCCAAAATAGTGTGTTACAAGTAAATAAAAATGATGGAAATAACTTTTATAACTTTTACTTATGTAGTTTTAAAATTATTGATCATTAAAATTGTGCATTGGTAAGTGTGATAAAAAAGACAGGTAAAATAAAAAAGAAAGGAGGAAGTAAGTCATAAGGCTAGTTTTTTTTTTTATTTTTAGACAAACTCATAAGGTTAGCTAGAGCTCGACACATCGTTATTTTTTTCTCTTTAAAAGAAAAAAAAAGGGCGTATTCACATAGGGAGTCAATTGCTTATTGTCTTATTGACAATATCTTCCCAACAACAATATAGGTCAAATCATAATCAAGTTGGATTCTGATTCAGATAATCTAAATCATAAATCAAGTTGGATCCTGATTTAGATAATCTTGCTGCTGAAGTGCTGATCTTATACAGTTCATACATGTGATTATCACTTTGATTCAACTAAGATATTTTTCTCAAAAAAAAAAAAAAAAAAAAAATTACAAATTTGCCACGACCATTGAACACGTTTATAAGTAGTGCCAAATAGATTGTTGTCTTAATGAGTATAGTCATCGTACAACGTAATTGCTCTTGTGGCCACCAATAATGCAATGTTTTGATCATTATTTCTACTTGTAAAAAAGAAAAAAAAAAACACTATACTACAAACTACTACACTAGTATTAAGAGCATAAAATCAAAATTGGTGTTATAGAGCAAGAAAAATGGATCAAATATGGCTCTTTGCCTTGATATTCTCTACCATATTTCCATTTTTCATATTCTTCTTCCTTCAAAAATACAACAAACTAATAAACACAAAAAACAGCCACAAAATTCTACCACCAAGTCCCCCTTCTTTACCCATAATAGGTCACCTTCATCTCCTCAAAAACCCTATCATTCATCGCACCTTACAACACCTTTCCTTGCAGTATGGTTCCATTTTCTCTCTAAATCTCGGTTCTTTTCGTGTCGTAGTAATCTCTTCACCCGATGCAATCGAAGAATGTTTCACGAAAAACGACATTGTTTTAGCTAATAGGCCTCAAGTTCTTGCAGGGAAGCACATCCACTATGAGTGGACTACCCTTGGATCAGCCTCGTATGGTCCATTATGGCTGAACCTACGTAGGCTAACCACCCTCGAGCTGCTCTCGAGGAGCCGGGTTAGCTCCTTTGAGGGTATAAGAGTAGAAGAAGTTCGATCTTTGGTTAAAGGCTTGTATTCAAGTAGTAAAGAAAACTTTGTTAGAGTTGAAATAGGCTCAAAGTTATCAGGGTTGTCCTTAAACATTTTGACTAGGATATTAACAGGGAAAAAGTACTTGTTTTTTGGTGATGATGAAAATGATGTTGGCTCAAGTAATGAAGCTGAGAATTTTCTTGGGGTAATGAGGGAGGTTTTTGAGCTTAGTGGACTGTCGAATGTGGCTGATACTTTGCCATTTTTGAGGTTTTTCGGTTTTCGAAACGTCGAGGGAAGGATGGTGGCAGTAAGGAGGAAGATGGATAGTTTTTTAGATGGTCTAATTGAAGAGTGTAGGAGGACCAAAAATGATCAAGGGGAGACTAAAGCCATGATTTTTAAGTTGCTGGATTTGCAAGAGTCAGACCCTACTACTTACTCTGATCAAATTATCAAAGGGTTTATAATGGTATGTATTCCTTTATTATTGCACATATTAAAGTTTATCTATCTTTCATTTATTCTTGACATCCTTTCCATGATTTTATTTGTTTTACAATCACAAATTTTATCTTATTTAAAAAAATAATTAATAATTACTGTTTGGGTCCAATTTAGTCCAATTGGGCCTAGGCATTAAATGATCCAATTAAAAGCCCAAGGTCAAGGTTCATCTCTCCAATTGTGCTAAAGTCAAAGATCAGTCCTCAAGGCAAGCCAATTGGGCTAAGGCCTAACTTCTCCATGTATGCAGAGGTATAAAAGCCATCAATATTACATTTGTACATTCATTCAAGTAAAGCCTCAAGCAATTAATTCTCTTGCATAGTGTTCTCTTTCTACACACTGTACTGACTTTAGCATCGGAGGGGCCTTCCTCGGCAACACCCCCGAGGCTAGTTTACGTGTGTTTACTGTGCAGGAAACCTTCGGCCCAACATTACTTGGATCGAATCTAGTCTTCTCCACTTCATCGGACCTTCGACAAGGTCCCATTGTTTTCACCCGAAACAATTTGGCGCCGTCTGTGGGGAAGACTTTCAAAAATCTTTAAGCCAAATTTCTAACCAGGATCATCTTGCAATAATCTTAGTAGCAATGGCTAAGAACCGCAAGAGCAAAGGCCTCCGTCAAGGAGCAGGCGAAAAGCCTAAAACCCCTACACCATCACCCTCGCCGGACCGGAACTCTCCCAAGGGTGCCAGCTCGGGGGAGGATCATACAGGGAGGATTCCCTTTCTCCCGTAATTCATAACTCTCATCATAGGCCGAGTCACTCTCGGTCTAGCAGGGGTGAGTCCGATCATAGGACACATTCAGTGCCCCAAAGCCAACCATCGACTGTGCGCTCTCATTCCCATACTCGGCCGAGGACCCCTTTGGCGGGGCCCAACTCGGAGGAGGTGGCAAGAGCGCTGGCAGTGCTCATGGAGGCAATGAGGGCACAAAATATGCCACCACCTCGTGATCGAACTCCTCCGCATACCCGACATCAACGGAGGAAGCTAGACCGTGATGGTGGGAAGCTTCCTTCCTTCCGGGAACTGGAAGAGTGGGAAGAGGATACCTGGAAAAATGAAAAAGAGAGGAAAAAGAACCCTCAATTTTTCAAAGGATACTCATCCTCCCGACCAGAAACGCATAAGAGCAGCAACTCAGCTTCTCGGCCAGAATCCACTCACCGAGAACAACCTGAGACTGTTCGCCGAAGCGTCCTCGACCGACTCGGCGGCAAGGAACCGAGCGTGCACAGTCGCCTCTCGTTCCCTGCGGCCGAGGCCCAAACTTCCCAGCCAGGGACGAAAACCACTCCTACCTCTCTAAGAGGGCGGAGCGCGGTCCCTTCGGCCAGGAACAAGGGCAAGGCTGTTATGCTACCCGCCAGTTCGCCATTCGAGCAATGGATACTGGAAGAGCACGTGCCCACAGTTAAAATACCGTCGCACATCACATATGACGGGACCTCGGATCCGAAGGACCACGTGGCCTCGTATGAGACTCATATGCATCTTTGCCCCAGATCCGAAGCGACTTGGTGCAAATATTTCCCAACCACTCTCAAGGGGGTCGCGCAAGCGTGGATCTCCAAGGGAGTAAAGCAAGGCTCCATAACAGGGTGGGATGATCTGTCCTCCAAGTTTAGGAGCAAGTTTTCCACGGCAAACCGCCGAGAGAAGGCTACTGCAGAACTCATGAGTCTGCAACAGGGGGAAACCGAAAGCCTCCGAGACTATCTGACCCATTTCAGTAACGAGTCATCCAGCATCTCTCAGCTGGACCAGGGGCTAGCCGTTTTTGCAATGCAGAATGGCCTTCAGCCCGGGAAGTTCCTAGACTTCATGGTCATGCATACCCCGCAGACCTTGGAGGAAGCTCTGAATGCCTCGGATAAGTTCATCCGAGCCGAAGAATGGAACAAAGTGAAAACCCAACCTCAATTTGGGGGAGGGAAACAAAGACAAATACCCTTGTCTGAAGGCCAAGGCAAAGGGAAAGTCAAAGGCCTCGGAGCAATCTTCGGCCAGCGACCCAAAGAAGGAAAAATCTGCCTCATACACAGGCAGATACGAGTCCTACACTCCGCTCTCTCTTCCACGCGCCAAAATTTACAGCGTGACGAAGGAGGAGCAGAGTTACCGAAAGCCGAGACCACTCCCAGAGTGGTATCAGCGAAAAAATAAAAATCAGTGGTGCGAGTTCCACGAGTCTCCGGGACACAACACTGAGGAGTGTATCCAACTGAAGGACCAGATAGAGGACATGGTCCGGAAGAGATACTTGAAAAAATACATCGCGGATCACCGCGAGAAAAAAGAGTCCGAGAAGTCAGCAAAGGACTCTCGGCAAGACCTCGACTTCCCCCGGAAGAACAGTAAAAAGCCGGAGGGGAAATTCTCTCCGATCAATGTTATCTCGGGAGGAATATGCTCTCGGAGGGAGCACAAGCGACACCTTAGGGCTTTGACTCACCAGGTGAACAACGCTGACATTCAGTCTCCCCAATCGTCGGTGCCGAACATGACGTTCAAAGCCGCCGACTGCTGGGGGATAACGTTCCCTCACGAGGATCCGTTGGTGATCATCGCCACGGTGGCCAACCACGACGTCAGTAAGGTCCTTGTTGACGGTGGCAGCGGTGCAAACATTCTGTTCCGAAAGGCCTACAATCAAATCAAGCTGAAGCCCAAGCACCTTACGCCGGTACCCTACCCGGTATCCGGGTTCAACGGGGCTTCAACTTATCCAGATGGGAAGGTGACACTTCTTATCACCATCGGCTGCGATGAGGCAGCCAGGAACGTCATGATTGAATTTTTGGTCATTGACGCTCCTTCAGTGTACAACGTGATTTTGGGGAGACCCATAATTCATGAGATCCAAGGGGTCGTCTCAACTTATCATCAGCTGATGATTTACGTCTCAGACGCTGGCTTCCCCGAGAGGATACAGGGCAACCAAAAGGACGCTCGAAGGTGCAACTACCTCAAGCCATCCAGTAGTCGCCCAGATGACGACAAGGATGAGGAGGAGAAAGAAAAAGAAAGAGAGCCAAGCACAAAAAAGCCGAAAGGCCTAAGTGCTTCGGCCCAAGGATCTGTACCCAGTGGTAAAGGGCCCGAAAGGGAAAAGGCTAGCTCTTCAGCTGAACAGCAAGACTCAGAGAGCCAGCCGAAGAACAAAAAGACTGGGACACCTGCTGACATAGGCAGCAGGCCAGATTCTGAAGAGTCCAGTCCATCAGCAATGGACATGGACCAACAGACTGAAACAGTTGAGTTGGCCGAAGGAGACGTTGAGAAATGTGTAACAATCGGGATGGACCTTGATCCGAACACCCGTTGTGAACTTATTCAGCTCCTTCGGGACAACAGAGATGTGTTTGCTTTCTCGGCAGCTGATATGCCCGGGATAAGTCCAGACCTCATCTCCCATAAGCTTAATGTTGACCCAACGTGTCGACCAATTAAGCAAAAGAAGCGGAATTACTCCGCTAATAAGAACCGAGACATCGCAGCCGAGTTCAAAAAATTGTTGGAGGCAGGCTTCATCGAGCCTTGCCAATATCCAGAATGGCTGGCAAATGTGGTGATGGTTCAGAAGGCCAATGGTACCTGGAGGATGTGCGTTGACTTCACGGACCTAAATAAGGCTTGTCCGAAGGATTTCTATCCCTTGCCGAGGATCGATCAGCTAGTCGATTCGACAAGTGGCCATGCCTTGCTTAGTTTCATGGACGCATTCTCGGGGTATCATCAGATCTTCATGCACCCCGACGATCGAGCAAAGACGGCATTCGTCACGAACGCTGGGGTGTACAATTACAAAATGATGCCCTTCGGATTGAAAAATGTAGGGGCAACCTATCAAAGGCTGGTGGATCAAGTTTTTGCCGATCAAAAGGGCCGAAACATGGAAGTCTATGTCGACGATTCGATCGTCAAAAGCAAAAAATCTGAGGACCATGTTAAGGACCTGGCTGAAACTTTCGCCACCTTAAGAAAGCATCAAATGAAGCTGAATCCGAAGAAGTGTGTCTTCGGCGTGAAGTCAACGAAATTCCTTGGGTTCATAGTCAGCAAAAGGGGGATTGATGCCAATCCCTCCAAAGTCAAAGCAGCGCTCGACCTTCCTGAGCCGAAAACAAAGCGGGATGTTCAGCGACTCACCGGAAGAATGGCAGCTCTCTCGAGGTTCATTTCCAGAGCTTCGGATAAGGGGTTACCTTTCTTCAAAGCCCTGAAACTCCCGAAAACAAAAGAGCTCGTTTGGGAGGAAGAGCAAAAAGACGCCTTTAAACAGCTTCGGGAGCATCTGGCTCAACTCCCAACGCTGGCTAGCCCAGCAGAAGGAGAAACTTTGTACCTGTATGTGGCCGTTAGCCCAGCCACCATCAGTGCAGTACTGCTGAAGGAAGAAAGTAAAATTCAGCAACCGATCTACTTTGTCAGTCATACACTGACGGATGCCGAGACTCGCTACCCTCTACTCGAGAAAGTCGCTTTCGCGGTAGTAGTAGCTGCTCGGAAGCTGAGGCCCTATTTTGATTGCCATCAGATAGTGGTCTTAACTGATCAGCCGTTGGAAAAAGTTCTCGGCAAGGTTGAAAAATCTGGTAGGCTAGCCAAGTGGGCTTTTGAGCTCACCGAATTCAGCATCAGCTACCGTCCGAGGGCTGTCATTAAGGCTCAAGCTCTAGCGGATTTCTTGGCCGAATGCTCATACCAAGAAGCGCTAGACAATGAAAAGAAAGTCTGGACCATGTTTACGGATGGATCTTCCACCGAAAACGGTTCGGGGGCAGGAGTAGTGATAACTTCTCCCGAAGGCAAATCCTTCGAGTATGCACTAAAATTTTCTTTTAAGGCCTCGAACAACGAAGCCGAATATGAGGCAGCAATCGCTGGCCTAGAATTGTGCATCTCCCTGGAAGCCGATCATGTCTGCCTGAAAACAGACTCTCAGCTAGTT